GATCCCAGTCCATTCCCAAGGAAATTCCTGATCCCGGTCCAGGATTGGGCCATTCCCATGGAATTCCCAAATCCCGGCCCAATCCCAAGGAAATTCCTGATCCCAGTTCATTTCCATGGAAATTTTCTAATCCTGGTCCATTCCCATGGAATTCCCAGATTCCAGTCCAGGACTGGGCCAATCCCATGGAAATTCCCAGATCCGTTACCTGATCCCATTCCATTCCCAAGGAAGTTCCTCATCCCAGTTGATTCCCACAGAAATTCCTGGATCCCAGTTCATTCCCATGGAAATTCCCAGATCCCAGTCCAGGATTGGGCCATTCCCATGGAAATTCCCGGATCCTGGGCCATTCCCAAGGAAGTTCCTGGATGAGGAGCAAATCCATGGGAAAAAGGATCTGGATTAGAAACTCAGAATCACGGAACCCTCCAGATCCCAATCCCGGGATCCCAAATCCACGGGAAGAGGGATTTGGATTGAAAACACAATTCCCACCTGGAATCATGGATTTCTCCAGATCCCAATCCCAGGATCCCAAATCCATCCCATGAGAGGGACCTGCTGGGACATTCCGGAACATTCCCTGGATAAAATGGAGCTGGGAATTCTGTGGGATGAAATTCCATAGGCAAACCTTGTCCTATCCATTTCCTGGGATCTCCTCGATCCCAGAATTCCCTGAAAGAGGAAAAATCCATGGAAAAGGGGGAAATCAGGAATTCCCACAGGGAACTGGAGCATGGGGATCCCTCCAGATCCCAATCCCATGATCCCAAATCCATGGGAAGAGGAGAAACCAGGAATTCCCACTGGGAATCAGAGCATGGGGATCCCTCCAGATCCCAATCCCAGAATCCCAAATCCACCCCACAGGACGGGGAAAAACCGGGAAAAATCTGGGAAAAATCTGGAAAAAAAACCGGGAAAACCACGGGGAAAATATGGGCGAAATACAGGAAAAATCTGGGAAAAATCTGGGAAAAACATGGGGGAAACACGGGGAAAAAAAAAGGAGGAAAATACGGGGGAAAAAAACCGGGAAAAATTCGGGAAAAATTCGAGAATTCTGGGGAAAAATCCATTCCAGAACATTCCCAGCCTCCGGAAATTCCCTGTGGGACAAATCGTCCCTCCCCACTTTCCCCTTTCCATTCACCAGGAATTTTTTTTTTATTTTCCTCCCTCTGGGAACAGCGAGAAAACCAAGGAAGCGCTGCTGGAGCTGCAGGCGGCGCTGGAGCGGAATCCCGGCGTGGTGGCGCACTTCCCGGTGGAAATCCGCTTTTCCCGGCGGGATGAGATCCTGCTGAGCCCCTGCTTCCGGCGGGACAGCTGCTACATCAACATCATCATGTACAGGTCGGCATCCATTCCCGAAATTTTCCACATTTCCCACTCGGGATAGCCCGAAAATCCAACCTGAGGATGGCGGGAGGTGTCGCCCCCAAATCCAGATCCTTTTTTTCCATGGATTTGGGATTCTGGGATTGGGATCTGGAGGGATCTCATGCAAATATTCCCAATGGGAATGGTGTCCCCCCCAAATCCAGATCCTTTTTTTCCATGGATTTGAGATTCTGGGATTGGGATCTGGAGGGATCCCATGCAAATATTCCAAATGGGAACGATGTCTCCAAATCCAGATCCTTTTTTTCCACGGATTTGGGATGCTGGGATTGGGATCTCAAAGGATCCCATGCAAATATTCCCAGTGGGAATTATGTCTCCAAATCCAGATCCTTTATTCCATGGATTTGCTCCTCATCCAGGGAATTCTGGGATTGAGGAGATCCCAGGAAAGGGATGAGAAAAGGGATGGATATGGGATCCTGGGATTGGGATCTGGAAGGATCCCATGCAAATATTCCCAATGGGAATGGTGTCCCCCCAAATCCAGATCCTTTTTTTCCATGGATTTGGGATCCTGGGATTGGGATCTGGAGGGATCCCATGCAAATATTCCCAATGGGAATGGTGTCCCCCCCAAATCCAGATATTTTTTTCTATGGATTTGCTCCTCATCCAGGGAATTCTGGGATCAAGGAGATCCCAGGAAAGGGATGGGAAAAGGAATGGATTTGGGATCCTGGGATTGGGATCTCAAAGGATCCCATGCAAATATTCCCAATGGGAATGGCGTCCCCACCAGAGCCAGATCCTTTTTTCCATGGATTTGGGATNCTGGGATTGGGATCTCAAAGGATCCCATGCAAATATTCCCAATGGGAATGGCGTCCCCACCAGAGCCAGATCCTTTTTTCCATGGATTTGGGATCCCAGGATTGGGATCTGGAGGGATCCCATGAAAATATTCCCAATGGGAATGGTGTCCCCCCAAATCCAGATCCTTTTTTTCCAGGGATTTGGGATGCTGGGATTGGGATCTCAAAGGATCCCATGCAAATATTCCCAATGGGAATGGTGTCCCCTCAAATCCAGATCCTTTATTCCATGGATTTGCTCTTCATCCAGGGAATTCTGGGATTGAGGAGATCCCAGGAAAGGGATGGGAAAAGGGATGGATTTGGGATCCTGGGATTGGGATCTGGAGGGTTTTTTGGGTTGTTTTTTGACGATTTTGTCCCGTGGGAAGGGTTGGAAGATGTGGGAGGGGCTGTTGGGATAATGAGGGATGTGCCCTGGGAATTCTGTGGGATGAAATTTCATGCCCAAACCTTGTCCCGGCCTTTTCCTGGGATCTCCTCAATCCCAGAATTCCCTGGATGAGGAGCAAATCCATGGAAAAAAGGATCTGGATTTGGAGACACCATTCCCACCAGGAATATTTTCATGGGATCCCTCCAGGTCCCAATCCCAGCATCCGAAATCCATGGGAAAACTGAGCTGGATTGGGGACACCATTCCCATTGGGAATCTTTCCATGGAAAAAAGGATCTGGATTTGGGGGGACACCATTCCCATTGGGAATATTTGCATGGGATCCCTCCAGATCCCAATCCTGGGATCCCAAATCCATGGAAAAAAGGGATCTGGATTTGGGGGGACACCATTCCCATTGGGAATATTTGCATGGGATCCTTCCAGATCCCAATCCCAGGATCCCAAATCCATGGGAAAACTGAGCTGGATTGGGGACACCATTCCCATTTGGAATCTTTCCATGGGATCCTTTGAGATCCCAATCCCAAGATCCCAAATCCATGGAAAAAAAGGGATCTGGATTTGGGGGGACACCTTTCCCATTGGGAATATTTCCATGGGATCCTTTGAGATTCCAATCCCAGGATCCCAAATCCATGGAAAAAAAGGATCTGGATTTGGGGGGGACACCATTCCCATTGGGAATCACGNCCTGGGATTGGGATCTCAAAGGATCCCATGCAAATATTCCCAATGGGAATGGCGTCCCCACCAGAGCCAGATCCTTTTTTCCATGGATTTGGGATGCTGGGATTGGGATCTGGAGGGATCCCATGCAAATATTCCCAATGGGAATGGTGTCCCCCCAAATCCAGATCCTTTTTTTCCATGGATTTGGGATCCTGGGATTGGGATCTGGAAGGATCCCATGCAAATATTCCCAATGGGAATGGTGTCCCCCCCAAATCCAGATCCTTTTTTTCCATGGATTTGGGATTCTGGGATTGGGATCTGGAAGGATCCCATGCAAATATTCCGAATAGGAACGATGTCTCCAAATCCAGATCCATTTTTCCATGGATTTGGGATGCTGGGATTGGGATCTGGAGGGATCCCGTGCAAATATTCCCAATGGGAATGGTGTCTCCAAATCCAGATCCTTTTTTTCCATGGATTTGCTCTTCATCCAGGGAATTCTGGGATTGAGGAGATCCCAGGAAAGGGATGGGAAAAGGGATGGATTTGGGATTCTGGGATTGGGATCTGGAGGGTTTTTTGGGTTGTTTTTTGAGGATTTTGTCCCGTGGGAAGCGTTGGAAGATGTGGGAGGGGTTGTTGGGATAATGAGGGATGCGTCCTGGGAGTTCTGTGGGATGGAATTTCATGCCCAAACCTTGTCCCGGCCTTTTCCTGGGATCTCCTCAATCCCAGAATTCCCTGGATGAGGAGCAAATCCATGGAAAAGGGAACTGGATTTGGGGGGACACCATTCCCATTGGGAATATTTGCATGGGATCCCTCCAGGTCCCAATCCCAGGATCCCAAATCCATGGGAAAACTGAGCTGGATTGGGGACACCATTCCCATTGGGAATCTTTCCATGGAAAAAAGGGATCTGGATTTGGGGGGACACCATTCCCATTGGGAATATTTGCATGGGATCCCTCCAGATCCCAATCCTGGGATCCCAAATCCATGGAAAAAGGGATCTGGATTTGGGGGGAAACCATTCCCATTGGGAATATTTGCATGGGATCCCTCCAGATCCCAATCCCAGGATCCCCAATCCCTCCATTTTCCCATCCCTTTCCTGGGATCTCCTTGATCCCAGAATTCCCTGGATGAGGAGCAAATCCATGGAAAAAGGATCTGGATTTGGGGGGACACCATTCCCATTGGGAATCTGGGCACAAGGATCCCTCCAGATCCCAATCCCAGGATCCCAAATCCATGGGAAGAAAAGGATCTGGATTTGGGGGGACACCATTCCCATTGGGAATATTTGCATGGGATCCTTTGAGATTCCAATCCCAGGATCCCAAATCCATGGAAAAAAAGGATCTGGATTTGGGGGG